ATAATTTAATTTAAGTTTAGTAATAAAATAATTTATTTTTAGTTTAATAATATAACATTTTATAAAGATAATAATTAAGTATTCTGTTATAATCAATGATTATCCTAATTATATTTTAGATTTTTTATATTTAAAATAAGATGTTTATCCTGTATTTGATTGTGTTTATCTGCAGTTAGTTAGACGAATTCAAATATGAGATGAAATCGGATAGGGATGAACGTGTTTAAGAGTTTTAAGAGTTTTAGCCAAATGCTTTATAATATAGTATATATATATATATATATACTATATTATAAAGCATTTGGTAAAACTCTTAAAAACCATTTTTTATGCATGAAGTATTGTATATTGATGCATATTACTTAAAATTCAAAATTATAAGTAAGTTCTGCATAAATACAACTTATTAAAGCTCCATGTTTGAATTCGTGTAACTAACTGCGGATAAACATAATTAAATAGAGGATAAACATTTCATTTTAAAATATAAAAAATCTAAAATATAATTATGATAATTATCGAGTTCTAACAAAATAATTAATTATTATCTTTATAAATTATATTATTAAACCAAATATATATTACTTCGTCATTGAACCTAAATTAAATTATAACAAAAACATTGAATTAAAAAATTACACAAAAAAATACTAAAATAAGAATTTTAAATAGTTAATTTGATACTAATATCGATATTTTTGTCAAATTTTTATGATATCTTCAAATTTATATTTTATTCAAAAATAAAAACTTCATCGCTTTTTCAAAATCACATAAGACTATACTATAACATCGACTGAGATAAAAAATAAAATGAAATATTAAAATCAAGATATATATTGTTACATTGCGCAAATACCCTTCTAGTATATATATATATATATATATATATATATATATATATATATATCACACGTGTGTATGAAAGTTTCATAAGGAACTTTCAAACTATTCATGAAGCCACACATCATACTTCAGGATGAATATTCATTTTAAATCATACATTCATGACGAATATGAAAGTATTATTCATCATGAATCACGCTTTCATAATGAATAACACGTCCATATTTTTATTGAGTATGCCATGTATCACGTTATGGTGGTTTTACACTAAAATTATATTTAAAAATAACATGTGATTCACGTGACCTTTAGCTGCGACATGAGGTAATGGGCCAAGTCGTCCACACACCTTTGCGTTGCCTATCTTTCAAATCACGTGTGATATGACATTTTCGTGTTTTCTTATTTTGACTTTGTTCTCATTTGAACTCATTTTTATAGATAAATTGATTAGTATGATTTGTATTAAAACCTCGATTTATAAATAGTTAGGAGTGTATATATATATATATATATATACACACACACACACACTAGAAGGGTACTCACGCAATGCAGTGAGATACATATTGATTTTAATATTTTATTTTTTATCTCAATCGATGTTATAGTATGGTCTTATGTGATTTTGAAAAAGCGATAATGTTTTTATTTTTGAATAAAATATAAATTTGAAGATTTCATAAAAATTTGACAAAAATATATCGATATTAGTATCAAATTAAATATTTAAAATTCATATTTTTTGTGTAATTTTTTAATTCAATTTTTTTATCATAGTTTAATTTAGGTTTAATAAGAAAGTAATTTATATTTGGTTTAATAATATAATTTTTTTATAAAGATAATAATTTATTATTTTATTAGAACTCGATAATTATCTTAATTATATTTTAGATTTTTTTATATTTTAAAATGAGATGTTTATCCTTTAATTGGTTGTGTTTATCCGCAATTAGTTACGCGAATTCAAACATGAAATTTTGAATTTTAAACAATATGCATCAATATACAGTATTTCATGCATAAAAAATGGTTTTTAAAAGTTTTTGTCAAATGCTTTATAATATAGTATAGGTAATATGTATTTGTTAATGATTGTAATTGTTTTTTCAATAATATATATTTTAAGGATTAAATATTGATTTTAGTTGAGGGAATAAAGAATAAGACAGGGGATCGAACCGTAACGTGGACACCCGGCCTAAGATGGTGATCTTGAAATGGAAGTGGTAACATGTAATTTTTTTTATTTTTATTTTCTAAATAAATTATTTTTGGCCGAAATAAAAATCTTCTCCGAGAATTCATACCGATGTCTCAGGAACAGGAAAACGGCGTTTCTCTCTCTCCATCTCTCTCGCTCACATAAACCTCTAACTGTAAGGATCCACGAACCCTATTTCTCTGTTAATTCCTAATCTCTTCATTATTTTGCTAAACCTTTCTACACAGATTTATGTTTGATTAAGTTGCCTACTTGTTCCTCTTGCCATTTCTTTGATCGATCTCTCTCACACCTCCAAAACGATGTGTTTAGGGTTTATTCTTGTTGTCTATGCTGCCTGTAGTTACGATTAACCGTTTTGCTTCATCTGGCACTCTGTTTTCACGTTTCTGCAACTTCGGATCACTGTGATTTGGGCTTGGATCTTAAATTTATACTTCATGCGTTTCTCTTAATGTGGATTTTGTTAAGGTATTCTCAATGCAGATCAATGGTGTAAGTAGCATAATCGGTACAAGATAATTTTATTTTGAATCAAAAGAAACCCCGTTGAAAGGCACACGACTAAATCTTAAGATTAGAACCGATTTGTTGGTTACAGCCTCTCGAGAAATTTGTGACCACTTTTAACAGGGACCAACTGATAGAAAATCATTTGTGCTAAATTTGCCTTTGAAAATTTGTGGTCTACTATTAAGGCGGGGATTTATTCGGAACTGGAGAGAGTAAAATGTCTACGCAATCACGTTTTAAGTCTTGCAAACTTAATTACATCACATGGGGGTGATTTTCCCGCGATGGGTGACAAGAAATGTTGCGGATAGTGAATCAATTTCTTTTTTGCACGCTTGTAACTTTCTCCTTCTTGGTATTGTCTATGATGATCGACGTATCAAAAACTTCCAATATAGACTGATTCTTTCACCAACTCTCCATAGCACAATAGGCACAAGGAAATGCCAATATGCTGTTCTGGCCAACAAAAATGTAAAAGACCCTCTGTAACACCCACAATATCAAACTAATCGTCTTTCTGAAATGGAGAAACATCGAAAATGGTGTTGATCTATTATAAGAATAGAAAGGGAACTGACAATGAAAATGACTATGAGATATCACCTTGGCACCGGTGTTTGTGGGTTGGGGGGGGGGCGGTTTCTGATAACATTTGTGTCATTGGAAATGCTATGTGCTATGTCATCCTTACCATTTAACTTGTTTCTAATATTAGTTGTTATATGGATTTCGGAGATACTAAGTGGGAATTCAAATTTGTGTTGTTATGCTGTAGGTTAATGTACTTCTTAACTCTGCACTTTTTTTTCCTAACCATGGTTTTCAGGTATTCTAGCCCTGGTAGTGGTACCACAATTTTTGCACTGTTGTATTCTGGAGGATGCTATTGGTCCCCCACATAATTGATTTTGCCTAGAGATTGACATTTAACATCAGGCACTTTTAACACGATGAAAAACGTGTATCGCAGGTTTGTTGAGATATTTTTGCTGAACGTTGGATCTTACTTATTGGTTTTGTATGTTGGTTTGAGTAGTGTGAGTTTCATATTAATGAATTATAGTATTTTTTGATCCAGTGGTGTTCTCAAGAGGTCAAATGGTAGTGCAAAACTAATTATCACTACAATTATGGGAATTGTCTTTGGATATTTCATTGGTGTTTCTTTTCCATCTGTTTCTCTTACCAAGGTAGCTTCCAAATCTTGGATATACTTCTCCTTCAAGCACCATCAATTTGATTTATTATTTTACTGTGAATCTGTGATATCTTGCAGGTTATCTTACCTTCAAGCATTTATTCACCGTTTGATCTAACAATGCATGAGGATCAATCTAAATCTCTTGAACGAAGTTTCCCTGAAAATCTTGGTTCAGGCAATACACCTGCAACACCTAAGGTATACATTCTGACATTTAGTGCTGATTTTGACTTGATTGCTGTTGAAACTAGCTCATTTCCATATAATACAATGCTTTTTTAGCTGTGCCAAAATATCAACATTATTCTACCTGTGTTATGTTTCCTGGCCCCTCTATAAGTAATTAAATATATCTAAGAAAAATATGTGGGAACATTTAAACCTCTGCTGTTATGGTTGCTATAGTGATCCGGTAGTTATTTGTTTGGGTTTCTATCCGAGGACATATCAGGAGCTGTTTAACCGGACAAGAATTAAAGAAAGAAATTCTCCTAATTACCATACAGAAACATGCCACTGACCTTTCACTGTACCATTTATGAACATAGGTTTTGTTAAAATGATCGTAGTAATCCTATCTAGCTTTTCTCATTTGCTTCATTTCTCCTGGAAGCAATTTCTTGGTCGGGTGGATTATATTCGGGCACTCGGAATGGTGTTAGATTGAGAAATTGTAGCAGATTGAAGTGTTTCCAACTTCTTGTATGCACCTTGCTAGCTATAATAATAATCTTTTTAAATTTATTTTAATATAAAATAAATTGCTATGTTTTTTTATGTTTGTTCTCCTTAATATTAATTTCAGCATATTGCTATAGTATTGGGCTTCATAGGTTTTCCCTCCTTCCCTTGAAAGTTGTAACAATTTCCGCTATAGAATGTCTCATTCAAATTGGAACATGTCTCTTTTTGGTAACTTTTCAAGCTAAACTTACCTACTTGTTGATAGTCATCATTACAGACGGTTACGTGTTAACTACTCTTGGTCCACTAGATCCCCTTGTTTTCTCATTTTTGAATGGTAATTAGAGTTATTGATTAATAATCAGCTTCTACAAAGTTATGTGTCTAGTCAAATGCTACAATTTTCATGAGGTAGGAGTCTCTTTTTATTGTCTCTTCAGAACTTGCAACACAATTTTGATTTATCGACTGACTACCTCATCGCTCTTTGGTTCCAGATCTACGTTCCAACAAATCCCCGTGGTGCAGAGTCATTGCCTCCAGGAATTGTAGTCCCAGAGACCGATTTATATCTCAGAAGATTGTGGGGTGAACCTAGTGAGGTATGCATTCAGATTTTCACCCTGAAATTTGTATCTTGTTACAGTCTTGTATTATGGTGTGATGTTGCTTGTTAATCTTTATTTCACGACGTCTTAGTTGTTGTGCAATTGGGAATTTCTTCCATTAAACTTCTTGTTTGCAGTTTTTTTCTGTTTCAACGAGTCTGTGTTAATGTTCAAGATTTTATGTGGTGATGATTGAGGAAGTATTTGGAAGAGAGGGAGAGGGAGGGGGAAGGTTGCATTTACACATAAAACCATTTTTGATTGATTAAATATGATAGCTTGTTTTATTGTAGGCATGCTTAACTTGGTCAACTGTATTTTGCTTATGGCTTATTCTTTGTGAATGAATTTTTGGTAACACTTGTTTTCTTTGTGCATGATCAACATGCAATCTGTTAACGTTGCAATCTGTTAACGTTGCAATCTGTTCGTAATACTGGCTAAAGTTAAGAAATTTGCCGATAAGATTATTTTCCTAGTTTGACCTTTTTATTGGTTGGCATATCAATTAGCTTGTTAGGTAACTGCAGCTGCGTTATAACTTGTTGGAATTTTCAGGATTTGAAGAACAAGCCAAAGTACTTGGTAACTTTCACTGTTGGTTGGGGTCAGAGGGATAATATTGATAAATCAATAAAAAAGGTTTCACAATATTGTCATTCCTTTTTGTTTATTAAATCTGATGCTGATTTGAGGATACTGAGGTTTGGTCATGATTATTTGTAGTTTTCTGGGGATTTCCAAATCTTGCTTTTTCACTATGATGGCCAAACTACAGAGTGGGATCAATATGAGTGGTCAAAGCAGGCAATACATATCAGCGTAAGGAAACAAACCAAGTGGTATGTTTGAATGTAATTGTGAACTCATTAAATTTTGCATGTTTACCACATTGTTTTTTTCTCTCCTCGTTTTTATTGTTTTTACTTTTTGATAGGTGGTATGCAAAGAGGTTTTTGCATCCAGATATTGTAGCAGCATATGAATATATTTTCATTTGGGATGAAGATCTTGGTGTTGAACACTTCAATGCGGACAAGTATCTCTCTCTCCTCCCCTCTTTATTATCACATGAATAGTTAAGCAAGGTCTAAATTTTACGTGTATATCAGTAAAAAAAATCTTATGCTTCCTGTTCCAGGTATATCCGGTTAGTTAAGAAACATGGTCTGGAGATTTCTCAGCCTGGTCTTGAACCCAATAATGGATTAACTTGGCAAATGACCAAGAGGAGAGGTGATAAAGAAGTTCACAAGTAGGTTATGATTGTTTAATTATTTATATTGGTTCTTAAAATAGCTTCTAGATGTGGGCTATACTTATCTCCAATGCGTCTTTATTTGTCCACAGAGATACAGAAGAGAAGCCAGGATGGTGCAGTGATCCTCATCTGCCTCCATGTGCAGCGTACTCTCTCTCTCTCTCTCTCTCTGTCTGTCTTTGTCTCTGCCCTTTCTCCTACTCACCCAGTCATACATTTCTAGTTTTGTTGTTTGTTTAATCCCCCCATCCTTGATATGTTCTCCTTCTGACATATATGTCTTTGATGTGCACTAAGAAGCCAATAATCATCAGTTAAGTTTACCTTTTGGAGAATTATGTCATTTGACTTGATCAAAATTTCTCTTATGTTTATCCATCTGAAGTAATCACTGCTTCCAAGATTCATGATGCCTATCTAAGAAATTCATGAGAATTCTGTTCTGCCTACTAGTCTCGAGGCAGATCATCTTTTATCGTGATGTGAATCGACTTGGCCCTTCTGGTCTAGTTTAGAATACAAAAATTTTAGACAGTAGGATCTGGTTTAGAGAAGAAAACCATTCTGCCTCTAATTGGGCTTATTTATATAATATGCATTTTATTGTTCCTATTAGCTGTTTGTTTCTGGCTTGCTTCAGGATAGTGAAGGAATGTTGGTGAAATATTATTATATCCTTTGTATAGTCTTTGAATAAACCAGTGTATGGTCATTCTTCTGTGAAAGTTTATGCTCTCAGGAATTCCTTACAGTGATGATATTTGCCGATAGCATATCTGTAAACAAGGGACACTTATTGAATTTTTGGATTGTGTGAATTTGCATGTTTATTTGTTTGTGCACTGCAGATTTGCATATGTAGAATTTGATTTGTCACTAATTAGGAGTTGTATTCGTCAAATACTAGTAGTAAATGAGTAACATACTACGGTTCTTGTTTCTTTACTTCTGTTTGCTGCATGTGCGTGAAAGTAACAACCCTTTTAGCTATTCCTTGGACCTAATACATAGAGAAGCTCAGTTGTTGGAAAGAGCTCTGCTTACGTGAAACTGCAAATGGACATTGTGCTGTGAATTATGTCTTCCATGTTTTGTCCAGTTAACATGCATGATTTATTGGTTCTAATGCATGCCACTTTGGTTTATTAATAAATTTTGGTGCTTTTATTCAGATTTGTAGAGATTATGGCTCCTGTTTTCTCTCGGGATGCTTGGCGGTGTGTGTGGCATATGATTCAGGTAAAAATATTGTTCAAGTATCAAGACTACATCGTCAAATGAGACGTGTGCACATTGTCTGTCATAATCTTTTAGAGGTTGTCTAGTGCAAAACACTCTGCCCATCAGATCTCTGTATTTACCATTAATGCTAATATTGGCTTTATTATATTCATGCAGAATGATTTGGTGCATGGATGGGGTTTGGATTTTGCACTTAGAAGATGTGTAAAGGTCAGTGGTTTGCTTTTATTTTCATTCATGTATTTTATTTTCCGTACTTTCAAGTCTGTTTATACATGTTTGAGGATTTGTGGGTTATCCTTTAAGTGCCTTTGTCTCTTCTCTTCAAATGAAGTGAATGTTGAACCTCTGACATCAAATTATGTCCACATAAGCTTTGTCTTGTAAGCATCTTTACAAGGGTTTCTAGAATCATTTAGCAACCCCTTTTTGTTTATAAAATTTGTATTTTTGTGCTTATTATCCAACTTAAAACATTGTCTAGAAGTTGTTTTAACTTTCTAAAAGCATATAAAGTTTACTTTTTTTTTCTCTAAAACAACAGGTAGGGACAAAGGCGGAAAATTTCTTCTTTGTATGTCATTTCTATATTGCCAAATTGGATATTTTGGTGGTTGTGAATAATTACAGGGAACACCTACATGAGTATAACTTGTAGACAGGATCTTTCAAATAGATTTACATATTCTTGAACATGCTAAATTGTTTCATCAACTTTAGGGATCACAATAACATGAAAATACAATAAAGGAGAGGATATTAGATTGTTTTAGTGTATCCCTACTCTAAGATGCTTGCATGCTAATTCAATTTAGAAGTTTGTTGGTCTTGATCAATTCACCGAGCAAGGATTTGATGCTGAAAGATCAGTACAAAGTGAAAAAACTTGAGCCAGTGGTAATTTCTGGTCTCGCTCACTTGAAAAAGGAGTTATCGTAAGACACTTCTTAGGTTTTGAATATGGTGTGTATCCTAGCCCTAAAATTAGGAAAGTACTAGTACCTGACATAATGGTATGTGTAACTGTACACAATAAGTCAATATCTCATGAGCATTGCAGTGTTTGCCTCGATAGATTGCTCAAGTAAAATGTTTGATTGTATGTCAAATATTTAAAGTATCTTTCAAAGAAGATAGACAAATGTTGGTGTGGATCCAAATTAGTACATCAAGATAATTTAAATTTGAAATCTTTCTGGGGAAAGAAAAATGTTGCAATTTTCGTGGGATGGAGGAAGCATTTTGTTGCTTTTACAGGTATTGTTAATAATACCATGAAATTATGGTTTCAGATAACATTGCAACTTGACACACAATAGGGAAACAACACATTTAGAATTAGATTCAAGGACTAAAAGAAGTATGACTTAACCTAGAAAATAAAACAAATTTTAAATTTATTTAGCAAATTCATTTAAACATATGAAACGAATTTTAAAGTTATGTTACCAAGACTAAGGATGCATAGCCTTAGCAGGCTACTAGTAGTTTTCTAGTTGTAGGCTAGGGAACTGACATGCATCACAAAGATTAATAATCTTTAGCAAACACCAACCTTTTACGTAGGGCAGAATGCAACCAAGTTGGGTTTAGTTTCTATCAAGTGTAATGGATTTTTTTTTTCTCAATCGATGTTGCAAACTTCTAATTCTAATATTTTGTACCCATTTTACCTATTAAACCGGTTTTCATCCTACGTGAATGTAAAAATCTCAACTAAAATCTTAAAGAGTTTTTAACACAAAATAATGAAATTATGATCTGACTTGGTAATCCATGTAATCCGTTTAATCACAATAAAATTAAAAATTTGACATCCACGTCATTGTTTGTTACAAGATGAGTAGGTTACGGGTCAAAATGGGTAAAAAAATAGGAAAGAAATAAAATCTTCATCACACTAAATAAGAACTAAACCAAACTTTGTTGCATTTTGCCGGCATCTTACTTTTCGCCATTACTGGAATTTCATTATGAGAGTATATGACCATTTCTCTATTCTTCCTCTGCATATATTAGTTGGTATCTAGTCGGGCTTTGCGTTTGTTTACTTCCTTCTGCATATATGGATTTTACTTTTTACCGTGTGATACTGCTTAATCTGATGAATACTTTTGCAAACTTATTTCTTCTCACAGCCTGCACATGAGAAAATTGGCGTCGTTGATTCACAATGGATCATTCATCAAGTCGTCCCTTCGCTGGGAAGCCAGGTGAGGCATAATCATTTAGTGTGTTTAATTGATGAATCAATTCATATGGTACTGTTTGATGAATACACCATCCCTAAGAAAGAAAGAATATAGGCTTAATAATAACGATAATGATTATTTTTTTCATGGATTGATTCAGGGCAACTCTGAGAACGGTCAAGCTCCATGGAAAGGGGTATGTATGTGTTTATAGTTTTAGAAATGGAGTATAAAAGTGAGTGGGAGTTGTATTTGCTTACATGTTTTTATAATTGACAACAGGTAAGAGATAGGTGTAGAAGTGAGTGGGCATTGTTCCAAGATCGACTAGCAAATGCAGATAAAGCCTACTTCAAGCAGATTGGAAAAGAAGAGTAAAGTATTGCATGCATACACACGTGTAGGCAGATATGTACATTGGTTTGTTTCTTGACCCTTTTTGGCCTGTGACCCACAGCCCCATTTAGGTGGCTTTTGAGTTCGCCTGCCATAGTCAGACACACATACTTTGTACTCTAGCCTATAGCCATCACCATAACCATGACCATGGTCACACAGACAGATGAGCCAAGAAAATGTCAGTTTTTTGTGCATAGTTTACGTTATTAGATTCAGCAGCAGAGTGATTCTCTTTTGGTATCTTGTGTTATCGTCACATACTTGTGCTTTTCCTTATGCAAGAACTCACCTTTTTTGTATAATCTTAAAACATTTTTTAACTACTACATGGTTTTTTTTTTATAGAACAATACTGGAGTTCACCATATTGATCAAATTTGTTGTAAATATGGTGTGATGGAATATGGGCTTGGGTAGTTGGGTGAGAGGGTGAGTCTTTGAGTATGGGGATGTTTACCAAATGATTATTGGGCAAATGCTTACAAATAAGAGGCATCGCTCTAATTTACCTTGTCGGGTAATGGTCTAGGCCATCAAATGGATTATTTGTAAGCATTTTCTTACTCGGTAAGCGCTAATGGGGTAAAAGCCTTTCTCCCTCACCTGTTGGGTAAGAATCTTGATCATTGTCATGCCTCTTACCCGGTAAGATTTCTGGTGTCATACTCATCTTGAGTCACTTACCTGATAAACGTTTGGTAAATGTTGTTAATGTCGTTATATCATAATATAGAGAAATTGGAACATGTTATGGGTGTTTGGATGGATGTTTTTGAAATTGAATAAGTTAACTAAATAATTATTTTAATCAAAGTATTGTAAGAGATATTGTTTGAGTGTGTTTCTATTGCTTGTAATTGTAATAATGACTTGATAAACTTTAGTTATTTAAGAAAATGATCGATAAAATAAAGGTGTACGAATGATTTTACTCTTTATCATTTCATAACCAATTTGTTATAACCAATATTGTCTCATATTTGAGTTCCAGTGAGAAAGGTATTTCCGTCGTTGGATCAACTCTAATTGAAGAGTTCCATTAGATCAACATTAATGAGAAATATTGTATCAATTCCTTTTTAAAATACAATTCATGGGTTGGTTTGAGATTAATTTTGTATTCTCGAATTTAGAGAGAAGAAAAGAAAGAGAAGGAAAAAAAAAAAAAAGGAAAGATGTTGTTTTTACTGATATACCCTTAAAAATGTATAATTTAATATGAAAGATTAAGTGGTTTTGTAATTTTAATAATTTTTTAAAAGGTTTAATTTCTTTATTTTTCCTTCCTTTCCTTTGTGGAAGGAAAGTTTTGAAATGAAACTTATCATTATTTTTATTTTTTTTCTTTCTCTCTTACAAAGTCTAAAAAACACGAGCTTTCGTAAAAAAAAGTTTCGAGAATACAATGCAAAAGTGATCAAGGGTCTAAATCTCTTCTTACATTTCGCATATTAACTCTTATTCTCATATAATCATTCATTTATTGTCTCATAAATTATAAGACAATTGTTTGAGTGTAATCGTAACTCAAACGTCTGAAATTAATTATCTTAGGGGCCGTTTACCTAAATGCTTACTTGGTAAGTGCTTAACTTTATGAGTCAATACTATAATTTTATTTTATTGGGTAAGATTGTAGTACATCAAAACCTATCATACACAACAATTTACCTGGTAAACTCTTCCCCGGGTAAGAGTCGTTACCTCACTTACCGGGTAAGACTTTCCATCCTTATCATTGCTCTTACCGTGTAAGATTTTTGGCCCTTACCATGTTCATCCGGTAAGAAAAATTACCCGTTAAATACTTACCAGATAAACGTTCAATAAACGACCCTTAGACATGAAATTCTAAACTTACGATGATTAGACAATCACTTTTAAAATGGTCATATTTATTTATTTAATAATATCACATCCAAAAACAATTAATATTTGATCGATAGTAACATGCACTTACCTTTTTTAACAAATATGTCAATACAAATTCGTGTTCAAAAGTCTTTCAAGACTAAATTGGATATGTAACCTTATCTCTACTTTACTATTATAGGAATGATGTGTTACAAACAGCAAATAAAAAACAACACATAACTACCTAAAATCATATATATCTATATTATATTATAGACCATTTGATAAAAACCATTTTTTATACATGAATTACTGTTTATTGATGTATATTACTTAAAATTCACGATTAGAAGTAAATTCTGTATAAATACAACTTATTAAAGCTCCATGTTTGAATTTGTATAGCTGACTGCATATAAACATAATCAAATAGAAGATAAATATTTCATTTTAAATATTAAAAATCTAAAATATAATTAGGATAATCATTATGTTATAACAGAATACTTAATTATTATATTTATAAAAAATTATATTCTTAAATCAAAAATAAATTACTT